GATCCCTTTCCTGTTTTCTGGTTTCAAATTTGACACTAAAAACATGACTAGTTTAACAACTTGTTGCACTAAAAATTTAACTTTTAACTTATAACTAATTCTAAGAAATTCAACTAAAAACAAAAATGCATTCATACAAACTTAAATCAAGATTCAACCTGGGAATTTCATTTCATCTGTTTGTAAATCAAATACTGTTAAGCATTTCAACTTTACTTTTCTGGAAACTTATTCTTTCACTTTATTCTCACAGGGTTTTTCACTTTTCACACTAATGCGTGTCCTGCAGATCATTTCTTCAAACTAATTAATATTCTGAATTTATTCTCTCTTGCTTTTTCTTCAGGTTTTCCTAAGATTTCACTTACTATATTCACAATTCTTCTCCTAGAGCTCTCTTGAACTTCTGTTCTTAATTTCTTCCATTAAATGCCTATGTTGCTGCTTAGTAAGCCCCATTGTATTTACATTATCATGAACTATATCACATGATCATGAATATATAGTATCTAAAAGCAATATGACATCTCAAGACAACATGCACCAAAAGTAGATTGGCTTACTGTTCTAATTCATCAGCATATTGTGCAACTTTCTGCTTGCACTGGTTTGCAGAAGTTGTTACTTCAGCCAACATGCAATGTAAATGCTTATTTTATGTCTATTTTCAACAAACAAAAACTTCAGGGTGGACCATCGCTTGACACAGTTCAAATCAAGATTCAAGAGTATCCACAGTTCAAATAGCATGGCATATAACTAATAACTTGTTCAAATCAAGATTCAAGAGTATGCTCACAGTGGGTCTACTCAGTGGCTCAGTGCTCACGGTGGCGTCTCTTCAGGGTGGGTCTGCTCAAGCCTCACGGTGGAGTCTGCTCACGCCTCACGGTGGCTTGACTGGAGAGTGATCTGTTGACTGTGAACGTGAAGCTCGACAGATCGAAGCTTGGAGAGAAGACTCTATTCACGGTGGGGCAATGGCGTGACTCTGTTGGAGTGCTGGGTGCTGGCGAACGACGAAATAGCTCATAGTGTGGATGGGTGATGGCGAACGACGATTGACGCAGACGAAGTGCAGAGATTTGAATCTTGAAATTTTCAGATTTGGTGACTGGAGGCTGAGAGAGTGAAAGATGAATGTGGATGGTGCTGTTGTAGGCTTGTAGCGTGACTGCGTGAGTGAAAAAAAAAAATCTGCTTTTATATGTAGGGTAAAACCGGTTTAAAAACCGGTTTTCGGTTAACCGGTTTGCAATTTTTTCAAACCGAACCGGTTTTTCGGTTTTTTGAATTTTACTAACCGAAAACCGAACCAGTTTGTAAAAAAACCTAATTTTCGGTTCGGTTCAGTTTTCGGATTTTTTATCCCACCCCTACTTTTAGCCTACATCCATGGGACCTTGTCCAAATCGAAGCAATCCACTAAGTTAAAAACACATTACAAGATAACGTTCAAAGTTGATCTAAGTTACAGTAAAAAGAACTCCCTATTCAACTTTGCACTTAGCACCACACTCTAAATCCTTAATGTGTAGCAACTTCTTAGGATCTTCTTCACACCGGGAACACACTAGTAAGCAGCTTGTGAACCACCAAGCTTCAAGTGCTGAAGCAACACACCAGCATCAGCAAAGGAACCACATTCCAAGAACCATTAAGTCTATGTTTGATATGGTGAGGTTTTTGGCACAAAAATGGAAAATAAACCTTGAACCTTAAGAGAAAGAATACTCTAAGAAAATCAGAGTAAAAAGAAACAAAAATGTCAAAAGGTTAGATTTATTAACGCAAGAAAGAGTATTATATAATGAAGGGTTTCTTGCTCAATAATATAGTGTCACGTCAGCCAACAAAGGGTTGACCCATGTTTGTCTAAATAAGAAAAGTATCCGTTCTTTTTTTTGGACCACAAAACAAACCGAGAATGATAATTTTATTCCCTAGGACCACCTAAGCATATTGTAACATATGTAAAAAGATCCTAAAAAGCAAGAGACAAAGATAAGCTATATCTTTTTCACTTTATCAGACATGCAACTTGTGCTATGTTTTAAATATCTGAAGCGAGAGTGTAAGTACAAACCGTTGTGCACACACACTCGAAACGAACCAAGCCAAGACATAAGTCTGGCAACCTGTGTGTACGCAGAATTGATGTGCACACACACAACTTATAAGTTTAATAATTATGAATATTCCACAATCTGGAATTAGGAAAACCCGTCTATGGTGACCGGCCATAACCAACGCCACAAAGCAGTGTAGCTGCAATTCGCCAATGCGAATCAATTCATGCTCATAAATGGATTAGTTAACCTTGCATGAAATTTTTGTCTATCACTTTGGATTTTTTTTACTTTTGTTGGATTTATCGGAGCACTTGGAAAAAATCACTGGAACCAAATCATGGGATAGTAACAACTCCTGTAATCCCACAAATTTTGGATGCCATCTGTTTAAAAGCTCAAGTTTTTATGCCTTTTTAATCTTAGGAATATTTCTGGCTATTATTAAGGGAATTTTATACATTCGTATTATTGTAGTATTGCATTGTCTAATTTGTGTTAGTTAGCATTAAGTTTTTAAAAGATCTTATATTAATTAACAATAAAAAGAAAAAATTATCTCCGACTCTGAGGCGGATCAAATAATTAGATCTCTCATATATAGTGGAAAGCTGGATAGAACCACTACTAAAAGTCAAGAAACCTGAGACCCTCAACATTTATTATAACAGCTAATTCCTGATGCTAATAATTAGTACAGTTGCAAGTTTGCTAACCAACAACCAACCATTTTTTTGTATTATTTAATATAATAATATTAGAAAGACCATCAATAAAAATTAATCAAACTTTCAATAAAATTCGACAAAGAATAATGGGCCGAAATCCCACTGTATGTTTCTTTTATTGATGATAACCCCCTTCTTTTTTTAGTGTATGACTGTATGTTACACTTCTTACCAGCAGAGTTCTATATTTGATCTTGCAATATAAATAAAGAAAAGCCTTATTAAGTAAGATTTATATATTCAGTAGAGAAAATATTTGAACCAAAAATCACAAAAACTCTGAAAAATTATGATTGCCTAGTTCTTGTGGATTATTAGTTATTACAAGAGAAATTATTAAAACTCAATTCAATGGTGTGCAACTGTCTCAACTGTTTGTTGCAAGTTGTTAATGATTCATAGGAAATTGTAACTTACAAGCACTCACCTTTTTAAGTTGACCAGAAAACTCGGCATGTGTAAACATGGGTTCTGAGTTTTGAATGGCAAATCTTTAGGATTTAGGGTTTAGGGAGAGCTAAGGTTTAGATATTAAGTCCACGACTTAGGTCCACATCTTAAAATTATTGAATCTNTAGAAACAATAAATAAACTTAGCATCACCATAACCAATGAAAAAGCACTTCGTAGATTTAGTATCAAGCTTAGTTCTAACAGTAGAGTCAATGTGACATAAGCTAAATAACCAAACACTCTTAAGAAATAATAATTTATCTCTATGCCACTCCAAACTTCTTCTAGGACCCTGCAATTCTGGTATGCAAAGGGTCTTCTTTTGAACAAGCAGGCTATGATATCAATTGCGTAAGCCCAAAATGTCAGTTATATACAATCCAAATAAGCTTACTAGACATTACCAACTTAAAATAACTGAAGTTAAAACTAGTCAACAGAATAGGAAATGTTAACTCTTTTAAAATTTAAAAAAAAAAAAATTGAATTATGGGCATTTATGGAATTTATGAGGAGCTGTAAGAAAAAACTTTAATTTTAAAACTTTAAAATAGGATGTCTTAAGAAATGGAGCTTCTTTAGTACATTAATGGGGTACTGATAGCTCCACTCAACTCAAATTATGCCTTGGACTAGTGTTAGCGTTTGATAAATCATAAATTCTGATCACATAGATGGATTTGTCTTTGAATTGGCATACCCTATTTTAAATTCTTTGCATGTGGGTATGACTAAGAATTATTGATCAAAAAGAAAAATTAACCTGAGCTTGTAGAATTAGCATACCCTTTTTCTTATCATATTGTTTTCTTGAAAAATTATTTCATTATGAATGTGGATACATGTTTAATCATCTAATTGGATCTCAAGCATGAAAGTCTGCCTTAAAGTATGGTTAACAGAAGCCCCTTGATACTTTCTAACCAATTAATGAATTAGACGTCTACTAGAGTGATCAATGTAAAACCCCATGACTTAAAAGTCTTTTGTAAGAGTCTCCCATGTAAGACCAAATTGGCAATTGACTCATCTTTCATATGTGCTATGGTCGTTACCTCACATTTTAAATATACTTGGTTCTTTACATGGTATGACACTATATTTATGAAGATTATGTGTGCTTTCCTCATCTAAAATAAGCTAAAGCAGCAATAGAGATTTTTAAACATTTCATCTGTGAATTCCTCTGCATGGTTGCTCTCACAACGCGGCTGGTTCATGTTTAGAGTCAATCGGGTTTTTATAACTCAATTTTAAGCATTAGTTTCTATTTTTATTCAATAACTATAAGCTGTTATACTAATATTTTTGCTCCGTCGAACCATATTTTTCCCAGGATTTATTAGCATAGATTGTGACAATTTTATGGAAACTTAAATGGAGAAACAGGTACTAATTGACACCACTGCATGGATATCTAGAACAGAAATTATACTTTCTTGTAACTGAAATTAAAAGCTTTTTCCAGTTGACAAGAAAGGGTCATTGGAGTTCAAAGATAGAGTTCTCTTTCCTTGACGTGGTAAGATTACCAATAACTTTGAGAGAGTTCTTGGAATGGAGGATTTGGGACAGTTTACCATGGTTACTTAGACGAAACTCAAGTAGCTGTGAAGATGCTTTCTCCATCATCAGCTCAAGGATATAAGGAGTTTCAAGCCGAGGTAATTGTAAATGAAGCAATTAACTTGTGCAGTGATTAGTGCTGTTTCATGTTTAGTGTAGGATAATTTTTTTCTTACAGGTTAACTTCTTATGATAGTTCATCACGCAAACTTGATAGCTCTTGTTGGATACTGTGATGAGGACACAAACATGGGCTGATCTATGAGTTCATGGCTAATGGAAACTTAGAGGCACATCTCTTAGGTTTACGTTCCCCGTTCATTTTCTTCTGTACAAGCATCTACAAATCAATTTTTTGCAGATAAATACTTATACTTGTCATGGATATGCAGAAACCCAAGCAGCTGGTATCTTGAGTTGGGAAGGGAGACTTCGAATAGCAACAGATGCAGCAAAAGGTAAAGGAGAATTGATCTGAATTTCGCATTTTGTTTTTTTCTTCTATGATTTGAAATGATCAATAGTCTATGCACTGAATTAATTCAAAATGTAGGATTGGAGTACTCCATAGCGGCTGTAGCCTCCCGTCATTCATAGAGATTTGAAACCTGCAAATATCTTATTGAATGAAAATTTCGAAGCGAAAGTAGCTGATTTTGGCCTCTCCAGAAGTTTTCCAGTTGAGGGGGGAACTCATGTGTCATCAAGAATATTGCTGGAACCCCTGGATACCTTGACCCTGAGTAAGGAGAACCGGATTATTAATGTTATCCATATCCTTTTGTGATAAAAAGATTTAATAAACTTTTGAGGCTATATTTGTATTTAAGAAACTTTGTTGCATAATCTATTCCAATTGCTTAGACTGAGTCATCAATTTTTTTCCTGCAGGTACTTTGCCTCACATAGGTTAACCGAAAATTTGATGTGTATAGTTTTGGAGTGGTTTTGCTAGAGATAATCACAGGTAACGTGCGATTGAAAACGCTACCCAGGGATTCATATAACAAACGAGTGGGTTCAAGTTGCAAAGGCGGATATTAGAAACATTATTGACCGAAGATTACAGGGAGACTTTGACATTAATTCTGTCTGGAGAGCTGTAGAAATAGCTATGGTTTGTGTTTCTTCACCTTCCAGTGGAAGGCCAACCATGAATCAGGTTGAGGCAGAACTGAATGAATGTTTAAAAATTGAGATACGCTGCAAGAAAGAGAGCCCTGTGACCGAATCAAGATCCTAGAGGAATGGTCAATTTAGATCTACATACTGAATTATTTCCCCTTGCAAGGTAGTAAAACTTTTCATTGTATCTCTTCCTTCAGTGTATATGTATATATGCATTGCATGTCAGGTTTTCCCCCTTCTTCACACTTCATGAATTATTGTGTATTTCAATGGATGACTAAAAGGAAAGCAGCTATACTTCTACTTAAGTTTATGAACATTTTCTTCATAAAAAAAATTGAATGGGTGTATTTTCTGTCTGGCTGATGTGGATGTTATGTAACACCCCAACCTTGAGATACAATAAATGTACACCAAACCAAGGAGATACCCAAGACAGTTCAACTTAACTCTATCACTATTGTTGGAGTTGGTTGACTCACTTTGGTGTATAGTACTCATTTTAAAGTGCAGCGGAATATTTACCATTGTTATGCAATTCCAATTTGAACACATCAAACATGAGAGCGGAAAATAGAACACAGTCATGTACATGGTTTGGCTAAATCCACTTTTAGCCTACATCCATGGACCTTGTCCAAATCTAAGTATCCCTAAGTGAAAAACACATTACAAGATATAGTTCAAAGCTGACCTAATTTACAGTAAAAAACCTCTATTCAACTTTACACTTAGCACCACACTCTGAATCCTTATATGTAGCAATTCTTGGGATCTCTTCATGCCAAGAACACACCCAAAACACTTGTGAACCACCAAGCTTCAATACTGAAGCAACACACCAGCACTCAGCAAGGAACACAATTCCAAGAGCCATCAAGTCTATGTTTGATATGGTGAGGTTTTGGCACACACTGGAAATGAACCTTGAACCTTAGAGATAGAAACTACTCTAAAATTTAGAGCACAAAGAACCAAAATGTCAAAAGGTTATTTCCTCACACGCAAAGAGAGTATTATTAATGAAAGGTTGCTTGCTCAACAATTAGTATCAAGTTAGCCCAACAAGGACTGACAATGTTTGTCCAATATAAGGAAGTATTTCTTCTTTGGTTTAGACCACAAACAAAATCGAGAAAAAGTTTTATTCCCTAGGACCACTTCGGGATACTATGACAACTGTAAAAGTTTCTAAAATTAAGAGACAAAGATTACAATGTTTTTTTTCACTTATAGACATGCAACTCGTGTTAGGTTGCAAATGTCTAAATAGAGTTAAGCACAACCTGTGTGTACACATTCTCAAAACGAAGCAAGCCAAGACACAAGTTTGGCAATCATTGTGCACGCAGAATGATGTGCACACACCACCAGATGAAACAAGCCAAATTATAAGATTCCAACTAGTGTGCACACATAACTTATAAGTTTGACAAATATAATATTCCACATTCTCCCCTTTTGTCAAACTTATGAACAAAGAACATAAAGAGATCAAGTACAAACATGTTTCAATCAACCAAATAAACCTACATATTTGCACAAACAACATACAAACAAAAATAACCAAAAACAACACAAACGTGAATACATAGTTAGTAGATAAAACAAATAAACATCAGTTAAGATAACTAAGGAGTTCAGAAGAAACAAAAAACTAAAGCATAGCAAACAAGGTAACAAACTCCCCCATGGAGAGATAACAAAAAAAAAAAAAAAAAAAAAATTAAAGTTTAGCTGCAAAAAATAAATAAAAAAACTCCCCATGCTTCTACTATAAGTACTTACAAAAAGATTTCCAAAAATAAACTTATTAAAGAAATTCAAATCCAAATCCTTACAAAGAAAAAACAACTCCAACTGAAAAATGAAAACTAAAATGGAATTGTTCGATTTTGTATAGAGGACCCTCAAGAAGCTATTATTCACTCCCAATCTCTAATTCTGAAACTACTGTGCAAAAATATTATGATAGGGGGTGAGCCATCAACTTAGTAGTAAAATCTTACATAAAAAACATTTTAATAATTTATAGAACATGAGAACATGGGTAACTTATTCATTCATTCTAACATATCATCTTAATTAACCATGGACTTGAGCCAAAACATTTTCTCAATCGACATACCTTTGCAAATATCATTTTTTTTTAATTTTTTTTTTTTCATTCATAAAATGATTGAAAATTGAAGACTTGGGACTTTTTAGAAAAGGACATTTCTAAAAATAAACTCCACATAGATCTTTTGAAATTAGAGATAATTTCAGTTTTCCAAAAGATATTTAATTATTGTACTATATTACAAAATAATAACTTTTTTTTTTTTCAAGTCCAAAACAAGTTGGAAACAGTTTTCTATAAAAACCAATTTACCCTTATCTTAAGAAAGCACATAACATTTTTAACTCCATCATTTATTACTATTTCATTTGTAAACCATATGCATAAACAATGCAAATCGGTAAAATTTTACTTACCTCAATTCCCCAATCAAAACTTAGCTTGAAAGCTCACAAGCTCAACCCACACTTACAAAACTGAACTCCCATAAAAACGTTCATCTAATCCATCACAAGTTATATAAAATAAACGATCCAGAACCTTAAACTCCATAAAACACCAAAATATAACTCCAACAAATAGTTCACTTATTACACCTCACAAACCCTGCCGAAAAATAAAAAAATTGTTGATGCATACATAAACTACCAATCACTAATGCATAGGTACCTTGGCCATGTTGTCTCGCTCATTCTCTATTATAGTGATTATCTTTGGATAGTTTTAAAGTGACTAGCCAAATGAGTACTTATTGGCTTTGCTCCATCCATGTTAACCTGTTGAGTACTTTCTTACATGCTCTTTTTGTGACAACTTCGAGAAGATTTTGGCTTTACTCTAATAATTCTCATACCAAGGATTTGTTGTAGCAGCTCCCAAATCATTACTAGCAAACTCCTTTGATAATTGTCTTTTTAGCTTGTCTATTTCTTGTTTACAAGCTCCTACAATCAACATGTCATCTACTTAGTAATAAGATGATATAGGAGTTTCCAAGATTCTTGAAATAATGCAAGTCAGTTTGGCATCTTAGGAAACCATTACTACAAATAAACTCTCAAACTCTTGTACCACTGTTTAGGCCTTGTTTTAGCCCATATAGACTCTTTTGAAGTTTGCACACCATTGTCTCCTTCCTTGTACTTTAAAACCTTGTGGTTACTCATATAAATTTCTTCATCTAGTTCTCCATGAAGAAATAATGTCTTACATCTAACTGCTCAAGTGAAGGTTTCCTTTGGCCCCAACCTAAGTATTGTTCTTATTGTAGTCAACTTAACAACTAGAGAGAAAATTTCAGTGTAGCCAATGTCTTCTTTCTAACAAATCATTTCACAACTAATCTTGCTTATATCACTTGCTACCATTATGTTCCTCTTTCACTCAATCCATTTATTTTACAATGCATTCTTCCCTGTGGTAGCTTTGTCAACTGTCAAGATTGATTTGTTAATGGTGAGTCCATCTCAACCTTCATAGCTAGCTCCCACGTGATTGAGTTCATCAACTTGTATCGCTTTCTCGTAACACTCTAGCTAGTTCACCACCATCAGTTAGTAAATATAGTGCAACGAAGGGAGTACCTTTGTGGCGGTCTTATAGTCTTGGAAGATTTTCTAGGTTCAAACACCAGCGTTCGTGGTTCAACTTCTGGAGCTATATTTTCTTGATCTTCTTGGTCATTGTCTTGCTGTCTTTAAATGAACTACCTCATGCTTCTTTACTTCAGTGCTTGGATTTTTTGACTTCATGTTAGCCTATCCTAATATCACATCTTCATTGAAGACGACATCTCTACTCCTTATAATCTTGCGGTTTTAATCATCTTTTTCTTTGTTGCTCTGTTTTTATTTTCCAGGATTTTTTAGCCTAGATTGTGGAACATCCAGTGATTCCAACTACACTGACAAGATAACAGGCATAGATTACATGTCAGATGCATACTTCATTGAGACTGGTGTCAACAATAAAATATCATCTGCATATGAAAATGATAATCTAGAACAGCAATTTTTGTATGTCAGAAGCTTCCCTGAAGGTAAAAGAAATTGCTACACTCTAAAACCTGAAGGTGGCTATTCTAAGTTTTTGATCAGGGCAAGATTCATGCATGGAAATTACGATGGCGAAGGCAGTACACCAAGTTTTGATCTATTTCTTGATTCAGAAGTGTGGGATTCAGTGGAATTGTCAAATCCATCCACTATCGTCAACAAGGAAATTATCCACACCCCCAAGAACAATTATATTTATGTGTGTCTTGTAAACACAGATTCCGGAACACCTTTCATTTCAGCTTTAGAATTAAGGCCCTTGAAAAACACCACTTATGTAACTCAATCAGGATCTTTGCAACTCAAAGGGAGGTGGTATGCTGGTGCAGCGACCAATGAGAACATCAGGTGAAATAATTTTATATTAACCTAAATTTGGTATGTTGATCTTGGTACTAAGCGATTGGTTATACAGGTATGGAGATGATGTTCATGATCGCATATGGACGCCCTGGGGATCAAACAGCTGGGAAACAAAAAGTAGCACCAAGTCAATCAATTTAATCAATAGTGCTTACGATTTACCATCCAGAATCATGAGCACTGCTTACATGCCAGCAAGTGGTAAAAATTATATTGATTTCGTTTGGGAAACTAATGAAACCAAGTCGACTTATGTCTACTTGTACTTTGCCGAAGTTGAAGTGAGACAAGCCAACCAGACTAGAGAAATGAACATCTATTCAAACGGACGGCTTTGGTATGGACCCTTTACACTCTCGTCCCTTTACATAACAACATTAGAAAGCACAGGTCCGATACTTGGAAAGAAGATTATCTACGAAATTGACAAGACTGAGAATTCAACTCTACCACCCATCATGAATGCCATCGAAATATACTGGGTAAAAGAGTTCTCTCAATTGCTAACTAACCAGCAAGATGGTATGTTCTTTAATCAAATCTTTTTGCGTCAGTTATGGAAGTTTTCATTTCTTTTCATTTCCCCTTTGATGGAGAGTTAACATTCAGCATAACTTAATTTCATTGTCATCTTATGCATTTAAAAATATTAGTTGATGCTATCATGATGATCAAGAGAAAATATGGAGTAAAAAGAAATTGGCAAGGAGATCCATGTGTACCTAAACTTTACATGTGGCAAGGTCTTGATTGCAGCTATACTGCTTATGAACCCCCACGGATCATATCCCTGTAAGTTTATACCTTTAAATCAAATAGAAATCTACTTCTTAACTTTCACCTAACACTGTCAACAAAATTATTAATTGGCATACAAGCAGGAACTTATCATCAAGTGGATTGTCTGGTCAGATAATTCCTTATATATTCAGTCTCACAGCCATACAATCTCTGTGAGCATCCCAATCTCATTCTGATGTGAACTTGTAAGTCTGTCGTCGAACTACTGAATCAAATAAGCTTAACTTTTTTCATCACCATTTCAGGGATTTGTCAAACAATTATTTGACAGGACAAGTGCCAGATTTTCTATCGGAGCTGCAATACTTGAGAATGCTGTAAGTTGAAATTATGACCGCAAAGAAAGTTTACTTATATATAGTTCTATTGATACAAAAGATAATCTGTATACATATTCTTCTGTAGAAACTTGGCAGGAAACAATCTCAAAGGTTCAATCCCAGCTGGACTCAAAGAAAAAGAGAAGAATGGTTTGCTGTCATTAAGGTATAATTTAAGTCCCAAAACTATGTTAAGACTTTTGTTGACATAGCATCGGACGATTTGCTTTCTTTCTTTCTCGTTCATTCCCTTATAAATTTTTCTCATAGGCCAATAAGAAAATTGTCAAATGTCTACATCAGTGAAAAACTATTTGTTGATATTTGTTTCAAGTTTTACAATTCTATAATCATCTGCTGGTTTCTAGTCTGGATGGGAATCCAAATCTTTGTGCTTCAGCATCATGCAGAGAGAAAAAGAAGTATATTGTTCCAGTGGTAGCATCAGTTGCTGCAGTTTCTGTCATTTTAACGGCATTANCTGATTATTATCCTAACCCCTAGGGCATCCCTTTCCCACAACCTATAGCCTTTGGTCCTTCTTGATACCCTAAAAAAACACATTTAAGAGACCTAGGCTCTAACTTCCCATCTCTAGTGTGTGCATAAGCTGTACACCCAAACAACTTGAGGTAATTAAGGTTTGGTTTCCTCCCTGACCATCTCTCTTTAGAACATTTAAAGCCTATCGAACTTGAGGGACTCCTATTGATTAGGTGAGTTGTAGTGGTTAGGGCTTCTCCCTATAAAGTTTTGGGCAAAGCAGCAGTAAATAAGAGGCATCTAACCCTTTCTAGAAATGTTATGTTCATCTTTTCTGCAATCCCATTCTATTGTGGGGTTCCCTTGACAATCCTATGCCTTAATACCCCCTGATTGCTACAATAAGTATCAAACTCTAGGTTACAGAACTCTAACCCATTATCAGTCCTAAGGGCCTTTACTTTTTTGTCTAATTGGGTTTCAACCAAGATTTTTCAACCTTTGAATTTAGTTAAGACTTTATCCTTAGTCTTGAGAAGGTATACCCATACCTTCTTACTATAATCATCTACAATGGAGAGGAAGTATGTGTTCCCTCCATGTGACTTGACCTTTTCAAGACCCCAAAGGTCAACATGCACATAGTCCAAACACTTTGCAACAAGATGAGTTCCTTTGTGGAAACTCATCCTGTGTTGTTTCCCAAGAACACATGTTTCACAAAAGCTTAAATAAAAAACAGATTCATTACCAAAATAACCCTGTTGTTTCAATGCATTCATGCTATTTTGGCCTATATGGCCCTATCTCAAATGTCATTTCTCTGCAGTAGATACATTAGTAGACAGTAAAGCAGTATTAAACACACTAGGATGGTATTAACCACATAAGATATAAAGGCCATTCTTTTTAACACCCCTTATCAATACATTTCCATTTTTGTACACTTCCAGGTAACCATTTTGTGCTTTATAAGAGCAGCTAGATTCATCTAATGTTCCAAGTGAAATCAGGTTACGCTTAAGCTCAGGTATGTATCTAACCCTAGTGAGCAAAACCACCTTACCATCATTCAGCCTAATGGTTATGTCACCTATGCCTTGCACCTCACAGGAATGGTTATTGCCCATGAATACAGTTTCCTGTTCACCAGTTTTAAGTCTTTGNTTATACTTGTCATGGATATGCAGAAAACCAAGCAGCTGGTATCTTGAGTTGGGAAGGGAGACTTCGAATAGCAACAGATGCAGCAAAAGGTAAAGGAGAATATGATCTGAATTTCGCATTTTGTTTTTCAGTTTGTTTATATTTTTTGTTTTTCTTCTATGATTTGAAATGATCAATAAGTCTATGCACTGAATTAATTCAAAATATAGGATTGGAGTATCTCCATAGCGGCTGTAAGCCTCCCGTCATTCATAGAGATTTGAAACCTGCAAATATCTTATTGAATGAAAATTTCGAAGCGAAAGTAGCTGATTTTGGCCTCTCCAGAAGTTTTCCAGTTGAGGGGGGAACTCATGTGTCATCAAAGAATATTGCTGGAACCCCTGGATACCTTGACCCTGAGTAAGGAGAACCGGATTATTAATGTTATACATATCCTTTTGTGATTAAAAAGATTTAATAAACTTTTGAGGCTAATATATTGTATTTAAGAAACTTTGTTGCATAATCTATTCCAAATTTGCTTAGACTGAGTCATCAATTTTTTTCCTGCAGGTACTTTGCCTCACATAGGTTAACCGAAAAATTTGATGTGTATAGTTTTGGAGTGGTTTTGCTAGAGATAATCACAGGTAAATGTGCGATTGAAAACGCTACCCAGGGGATTCATATAAGCAAACGAGTGGGTTCAATGATTGCAAAGGCGGATATTAGAAACATTATTGACCGAAGATTACAGGGAGACTTTGACATTAATTCTGTCTGGAGAGCTGTAGAAATAGCTATGGTTTGTGTTTCTTCACCTTCCAGTGGAAGGCCAACCATGAATCAGGTTGAGGCAGAACTGAATGAATGTTTAAAAATTGAGATAGCTCGCAAGAAAGAGAGCCCTGTGACCGAATCAAGAGATCCTAGAGGAATGGTCAATTTAGATCTACATACTGAATTATTTCCCCTTGCAAGGTAGTAAAACTTTTCATTGTATCTCTTCCTTCAGTGTATATGTATATATGCATTTGCATGTCAGGTTTTCCCCCTTCTTCAACTTCATGAATTATTGTGTATTTCAATGGATGACTAAAAAGGAAAGCAGCTATACTTCTACTTAAGTTTATGAACATTTTCTTCATAAAAAAATTGAATTGGTGTATTTTCTGTCTGGCTGATGTGGATGTTATGTAACGCCCCAACCTTGAGATACAATAAATGTACACCAAACCAAGGAGATACCTAAGACAGTTCAACTTAACTCTATCACTATTGTTGGAGTTGGTTGACTCACTTTGGTGTATAGGTACTCATTTTAAAGTGCAGCGGAATATTTACCATATTGATTATGCAATTCCAATTTGAACACATCAAACATGAGTGCGGAAAATAAAGAACACAGTCATGTACATGGTTTGGCTAAATCCACTTTTAGCCTACATCCATGGGACCTTGTCCAAATCTAAGTAATCCATTAAGTGAAAAACACATTACAAGATATAGTTCAAAGCTGATCTAAGTTACAGTAAAAAGAACTCTCTATTCAACTTTACACTTAGCACCACACTCTGAATCCTTAATATGTAGCAATTCCTGGGATCTTCTTCATGCCAAGAACACACCCAAGAACAGCTTGTGAACCACCAAGCTTCAAATGCTGAAGCAACACACCAGCATCAGCAAAGGAACCAACATTCCAAGAATTGACAAATATAAATATTCCACATTCTCCCCCTTTGTCAAACTTATGAACAAAGAACATAAAAGAGATCAAGTACAAACATGTTTCAATCAACCAAATAAACCTACATATTTGCACAAACAACAATACAAACAAAAATAACCAAAAACAACACAAATGTGAATACATATAGTAGATAAAACAAATAAAACATCAGGTAATAACTAAGGAGTTCAGAAGAAACAAAAAACTAAAGCAGTAGCAAACAGGTAACAAACTCCCCCATGGAGAGATAACAAAAAAAAAAAAAAAAAAAAAAAAATAAAAAATAAGTTTAGCTGCAAAAAAATAAATAAATAAACTCCCCATGCTTCTACTATAAAGTACTTACAAAAAGATTCCAAATAAACTTATTAAAGAAATTCAAATCTCAAATTTACAAAGAAAAAACAACTCCAACTGAAAAATGAAAACTAAAATGGAATTGTTCGATTTTGTTAGAGGTACTCCTCAAGAAGCTATTATTCACTCCCAAATCTCTAATTCTGAAACTACTGTGCAAAAATATTAATGATGAGGGGTGAGCCATCAACTTAGTAAGTAAAATCTTACATAAAAAAGCATTTTTATAATTTAATAAGAACATAATGAGAACATGGGTAACTTATTCATTCATCATAACTATCAATCTTAATTAACCATGGACTTGAGCCAAACATTTTCTCAATCGACATACCTTTGCAAATATCATTTTTTTTTAATTTTTTTTTCATTCATAAAATGATGAAAATTGAAGACTTGGGACTTTTTAGAAAAGGACATTTCTAAAATTAACTCACAATAGATCTTTTGAAATTAGAGATAATTTCAGCTTTCCAAAAGATATTTAATTATTGTACATATATTACGAAAATAATAACTTTTTTTTTTTTCAAGTCCAAAACAAGTTGGAAACAGTTTTATTTAAATACCAATTTTACCCTTATCTTGAGAAAGCACATAACATTTTTAATCCATCATTATTACTATTTCAATTTGTAAACCATATGCATAAAACAATGCAAATTCGGTAAAATTTTAATTACCTCAATTCCCCAATCAAAACTTAGCTTGAAAGCTCACAAGCTCAACCCACACTTACAAAACTGAACTCCCATAAAAACGTTCATCTAATCCATCACAAGTTATATAAAAAAACGATCCAGAACCTTAAACTCCATAAAACACCAAAAATATAACTCCAACAAAAATAGTCACTATTACAACTTCAGCAAACCCTGCCAAGACAAAAATAAAAAAATTGTTGATGCATACATAAACTACCAATCACTAATGCATAGGGTACCTGGCCATGTTGTCTCGCTCATTCTCTATTATAGGTGATTGATTTGGATAGTTTAGTGACTAGCCAAATGAGTACTTATTGGCTTTGCTCCATCCATGTTGAACCTGTTGAGTACTTTCTTACATGCTCTTTTTGTGACAACTTCGAGAAGATTTTGGCTTTATCTCTAATAATTCTCATACCAAGGATTTGTTGTAGCAGCTCCCAAATCATTACTAGCAAACTCCTTTGATAATTGTCTTTTTAGCTTGTCTATTTCTTGTTTACAAGCTCCTACAATCAACATGTCATCTACGTATAGTAATAAGATGATATAGGAGTTTCCAAGATTCTTGAAATAATAGCAATGGTCAGTTTGGCATCTTAGGAAACCATTACTACAAATAAACTCATCAAACTTCTGTACCACTGTTAGGCCTTTGTTTTAGCCCATATAGACTCTTTGAAGTTTGCACACCATTGTCTCCTTGTACTTTAAAACCTTGTGGTTACTGCATATAAA